CCTCCGAGCCGGTGCCCGGGGTGGCGGGGCTCCGGAACCACGGCAACACGTGCTTCATGAACGCCACGCTGCAGTGCCTCAGCAACACCGAGCTCTTCGCCGAGTACCTGGCGCTGGGCCAGTACCGGGCGGGGCCCCCCGAGCCCTCGCCTGACCCCGAGCAGCCCGCAGGCCGTGGCGCGCAGGGCCAGGGCGAGGTCACCGAGCAGCTGGCGCACCTGGTTCGGGCCCTTTGGACCCTCGAGTACACACCGCAGCACAGCCGCGACTTCAAGGTGAGCCCTGCGGCGCCGCTGCGCGAGGAGGGGGCCCTGCGCCAAGTCCCTGGGGGCCCCCGCGCGGCCGAGCCTCCCTTCGCTCCTGTCCTCCCGGCTGCGTGGACTGCATTGGTCGGTCGGGAAGAGACTCTGTTCATCGTAAGGGAGGTTCAGTCATTCAGTCGTTCGTTCATTCATCCCATTTATTGAGCGCTTACTATGAGCCAGGCCCTGTGGTAGGCACTCAGATACCACAGTGAACAAGCCCGTCCGTCTTCATGGAGCTTACATTCTCGGGGATTGGAGTATGAGTATGGAGCCTGGCTTCAAATTTTGTTTCTGCTGCTTCATGGCTGTGCGATCTTGGGCAAGTTAATCAATCACTCTGTGCCATAGTTTCTTCACCTGGTACCTGCCTTAAGGTTGTTGTGAGTTTCGAAGTTGGTATGTTAGGTGGAACCCAATGAAATTAGCCTTTTTTTTTTTTTTTTTCCCTGTTCTTTCCTTGTTATGTGCCTTCGAGCCGGACCCGACTCATAGCGACCCCTCCTTGGGTTTCCGAGGCAGTAGGTCAGCATACTAGTATGTAAAATGTTTCACCTGTGCCTAGTACCACGTGTATTTGCTGCTATTAAGTTAACAAGCTAATGTCAGTGGTATGAAGAAAGTAGCCGCTGGGATGGATGTGCCGGTGGGCAACTTCTTTTTTTTTTTCTTTTTTTAATTTAATTTTAAACATACATCAATTGAACAGTTTCTCCATGTACAATTCAGTGACATTGATTACATACTTGGAGTTGTGCAACCATTCTCACTCTTCTGAATTGTTCCTCTGCCATTAACATAAACTTCCCCCTAAGGTTCCTATCTAATCTTTCTAGTTACTGTTGTCAGTTTAAGCCCACATGGGGTGGGGGACGGGACAAACCCACTGCCATCGCTTGATTCTAACTAGTATGAGCCCATAGAGTTTTCAAGGATGTAAATCTTTATGGAAAGCAGACTGCCTTTTCAGTCTCTCCTGGAGCGACTGGTGGATTTGAACCGCTGACTTTCTGATTAGCAGCCAAATGCTTTAACCACTGTGTCACCAGGGCTCCAGTCTCATAGATGGTAACTAAACTAGCATAATACTCAAGGCAGATGTTTTTTACTAGTTAAGGTAATCTGTTGTTAATTTTTAGAAAACTCTAAGGGATATTTTTGGTTTAAGGTTTAAAGATCATCTCAGGGCAATAGTTTCAGGAGGTTCATCCACCCTCCATGTCTCCAGGAAGTCTAGAGTCCATGAGAATTTGAAATTCTGATCTGCGTTTTCCCCCTTTTCATCAGGGTTCTTCTGTAGAATGTTTTATCAAGATGTTGAGTATTGGTAGTGGGGCACTATGCAGTTCTGGTCTAATTGCAAAGGAGACAGTTGTTCATGGAGACAATTAGCCACACATTCCATATCCTCCTGCTATTCCTGGCAGGCTGCCTAAGATTAGAGGCAGGGATTAAGACAGTCTTTGAGCAGAGGTGGCATTTGAAATGTGACTTGAGGGACCATAGAAAGAGCTAGCCATGGGGAGGTCTGAGGGAAGTGTGTCCCAGGTGTAGGGAACAGTAAGTGTGAGGACCCTGAGATTGGGAATGAACTTAGTGCACTTGAGGAACTGGGTAACTCTGAGGTCAGCAAAGTAATATTTTTAGGCCTTGTTGGGCAAAATGCAAAATTGAGGATAAGTGTTTATATAACAAGAGAGAACACAAATTTCCCCTGTTTTAAAATTAACTAAATTAAAAATATAATAAGCAAGTACAGTATTTTATAGCATAGGTTTTGGTGGCACAAATGGTTAAGTGCTGTACTGCTAGGTTGGCGATTCAAACCCATACAGACACCTTGGAAGACAGGTCTGGCCATCTGTTTCTGAAAGGCCCCAGCCTTGAAAACCCTGGGTGGTGGTGGTTAGGTGCCGTCAAGTTGGTTCTGACTCACAGCAACCCTGTGTGCAGCCCAACGAAATGCTGCCCAGTCCTGGGCCAGCCTCTCAGTCCTTTCTGTGTTTGAGGCCATTGTTGCAGTCACTGTGTCAGTCTGTCTCATTGAAGATCTTTCTCTTTTTTGCTGACCTACTTTACCAAGCATGATGTTCTTCTCCAAGGACTGGTCCCTCCTGATGACATGTCCAAAGTACAAAGGCTTGCCATCCTTGCTTCCAGGGAGCATTCCAGCTGTACTACTTCCAAGACATTCTTGGAAGTCTTTCATTCTTCTGGCAGTCCGTGGTATATTCAGTACTTTTCACCAGCATCATAATTCAAATGCATCACTTCTTCGTTCTTCCTTACTCATTGTCATAGGCATATTTCACCTGCCTAGGAGCTCTGGTGGCGTAGCACCTAAGGCATTTGACTGCCGACCAGAAGGCTGATGGTTCAAATCCACCAGCCACTCCTTGGAAGGAAGATTGGGCAATCTATTTCCGTAGTGATACTGCCTCGGAAACCCAAGGAGGGGTGGCTGTGAGTCGGATCTGACTTGACGGCAGTGAGTTTGGTTTTTTGGTTTTATGAGGCAGTTGAAAATACCACGGGCTTGGGTCAGGTGCACCTTAGTCTTCAAAGTGACATCTTTGCCCTTTAACACTTTGAAGAGGTTGTTTGCCGCAGACTTGCCCAATGCAATATGTCATGTGATTCTTGGCTGCTGCTTCCATGGGTGTTAATTGTGGATCCAAGTAAAATGAAATTCTTGACAACTTTAGTATTTTCTCTGTTTATCATGACATTGCTTATTAGTTCAGTTGTGAGGATTTTTGTTTTCTTTATGTTGAGGTATAACCCATACTGAAGGCTATAGTCTTTGCTCGTCATCAGTAAGTGCTTCAAGTCCTCATCACTTTCAGCAAATGAAAACAGTTATATTCTGCACGTATGGGGTTATCGTGAGTTGAAATCTACTAGAAGGCAAGTAACAACAAGAAGAGTGGAGTTCTTTGTGGGAGAGGAGATAACATTTTCTTAATTGGGGTTCAAAATTAATGCTCCCTGTCATCAAATTAGGAGCCCTGGTGGCACAATGGTTAAGTGCTTGCTGCTAACCTGAAAGGGCGATTTGAACCCACCAGCAGCTCCGTGGGAGAAAAGATCTGATAATTTGCTCCTATTAAGATTACAGCCTCAGAAACCCCATGAGGGAATTCTCTGCCCTGTAGGGTCACTGTGAGTTGGAATCCACTTGATGGTGTACAACACCAACAAAACCCATCAACTTAATTGTAAATACTCATTTGCACAAAACCTTCTTGGCTCATGGGCTATACAAGCAAGCAGTGGGCTGGGTGTAGCCCTTGGGCTGGAGTTTGCTGTCTGCTGTGTAACTGGCTGTCTAGTAAAAGGGTGCGTGATAGAAAAAGTGGAGGGCTGGGGCTAGATAGTGGAGGGAGGGTCATGTAGGCTGCACAGGGAATTGAGCCTTTATTCCAAGCAAAAGGCGATGATGATTTGACTTCATGTGAGGGATGCTCTAAGGAGCTCTGGTGCTATAGTGAATCATGCATTTGGATGTTAACCAGAAGGTCTGCAGTTCAAATCCACCAGCTGCTCTGTGGGAGGAACATAAAGCAATCTACTTCTGCAAAGATTTACAGCCTTGGAAACCTAACGAGGGTCACCATGAGTCAGAATCCAATTGACAGTGGTGGGTTTGGGTACTTTTAGGTGAGATGTGGATTTGGCATTAAGTAGAATGTAATCACACCACCAGAAGATGGGTCCTCTTTCTGTTGTCCTTTGGTCCTGATCATGCCCTGGAAGGTAGCCAGCCTGTCTTTAACACCTCTTTGCAACCCCTGTCCTGGACACCTCCTGTTTGTTCCCTAAAAAACAAAAACAAAAACACCCTTTGGCTTTGGCAGGCAACAATAGCTACAGTTCAGTAAGGTTGTTATCTTTATGTTGGATTTGTTTTTACATTTGTCTTCCACCTATGGCAGGTGGCACTGGTTTTCCATTGGTAGTATTGTTTGTTTATAAGATACATTATTTAAGTAAAAAACAAAACATGATTTGATTAAATTGTTAAGTGGCGATCTGGCTAAGCAGTCTGTACTTGATTAGGATCTTGCTAAGGAGCAACGTTGCCGGGTTGTACCTTTCCCCTTTTCATATATTTTATTTATATTTGTTTTTATTGCAGGAGCAGTAGTTAATGCTCAGCTCTATTTTCCTCAAAAAGGAAAAAAACGACAACATTGTTGTTTGATCACTGGAGACTGGGGGAAATAAAATCAGATCCATCTCAGAATAAGAGGGGGAGGAGAATGGCAGCACTGGCTGCAGGAAGTCCTGTTTTTCCCTCGGCTTCTAATCCAAAAACCAAACCCACTGCCATTTAGTCGATTCTGACTCAGTGACCCCCATTGGGTTTCCAAGGCTATAAATCTTTGTGAAAGTAGATTACCTCATCTTCCTCCCATGGAGTAGCTGGTGGGTTTAAACCACTGGCCTGGTTAGCAGCCAAATGCCTTACCCACTATGCCACCAGAAGTCACTGTGTCAGCCTCAGCAATCGCAAACTTTTCAAGGGCAGAGCCCGGGGTTTGAGTTTGGTTTTTCCCTCTTTTCTAAAATGTGAAGATCAGTTTCTACAGTATCTTTGTGTGTGAACATTTCCACTGCTTTGTAAGAGGTTGCTTTACATTTTTATCCATTTTGAAGCTGTGAAAAGAAATGGGTCACTAATTCCAGCAGAGCACAGACTGATTTATAGGCATACTTTGGCAAAGTTGAACAGATTCTTAGAAGCCCTGTTTTTAAGACATGTGGTCTTCTGAACCTTGATTAGATGTCATTCTCCGGTTATTCATTCACCTCCCAGTGAGGAATGCCTTCTGCTCAGAAGGGGACGCCCTGCTGAGAGTGCCTGAAACCGAAAGGATGTTGAGGTGGCTCTCACTGTAAGTCTGGAGGTAGGCAGCTCTAGCACCATGCAGTGGCTTGGTGGGCCCAACAAGGACACAGACCCTTTCTGT